CTCTTTGGTCTCCCTTTTCCAAATGAAAAACACATCAGCTATTCCAAATGAAAAGCAATGATATGTGCAACAAATCAAGAACCTGTGAAATCTAGAAGGATACAAGAAGAAAACTACTGAAGAACCAAAAACATATTGCACAGCCCCAGATTAAAAGAGAATCAGATCAAGACCTAACTTAATTCAGGATGTAAATGTTGTAAGTAAGACCAGTTCCTCAGTTCTGTGATATCTCTTCTGTTCACCATGCAAAGGCTTTCCTGGTTATCTTTAAAGCCTTTGCAAATATTTGCTAAAGATGATGCTAATCCATTTCCCTCTATCTGATTTTTGGAATGCTTTAAGAAAGAGGGAATCTTTAGTAACTTCATTAAAATAACTGACTGTGATGGGGGGGTTGCGGATAGGAGAGAACCAAATATTATAAACACGCATATATATACATACATATATATATATCTGCCTGCCTATCTATCTATCTATCTATCTATCTATCTATCTATCTATCTATCTATCTATCCATCCATCCATCCATATATATGAAGAGAGAGGGACACAGAAAGACACAAAAACAGGTTTTAAGGAACCAGCTCACCTGACTGGTATCTGGCAGTCTGAAATCTGCATGGCAGGGTGACAGGTTTGAAACTCTTAGGCAGGAGCTGATGCCATTTAAGGCAGAATTTATTCTTCAGGGATCCTCACTTTTGTTCTTAAAGCTATCCAGTGATTGGATAAAGTCCACTTACATTATCGAGGGTTAGTCTCCTCTACTTAAAGTCAACTAATTGTAGATGTTAACCACATCTACAAAAATACCTTCACATCAACACCTAGGTTAGCATTTTGTTTAAATAACTGTGTATTGTAACCTAACCAAGTTGAAACACAAAATTAAACATCACACCTCTTCATCTGATTTATAAATACAACAAAGAGGATGGAATACAGCTGTGCTGAGGACTTAGTGTACACTCTGCTGCCATCCACCTGCCTCAATGATTTCTGTCTCCAGCCTTTTCTCTCTTCTGGAAATGTCTATTATATTTTAAAGTTCCAATCTGCTTTTATTCTTGGGGCATGCTTATCTTCTTTTTTTTCTGGACTACCCAGAAATATACCTGTCTGGTACCCAGCTCCATTGCTAGCTAGGCTTGTGTCTGGTTAACTGGAATGGTATAAGATTTTGTAGGTGTCTTCTACGCCATGGCTACCATGCACCGTCAGGTAGGCAGTGGTGTGTAGGGCTTAGGGCAGCAGGGCTAATATCCTAGATTATGTGAATAGTAACCTCTGGAGTAGGGCAGGATAATAGCTTTACAACCGTAAACGGAGACCTAACTTCCATGCATGCATGCATGCATCCATGCATCCCCCATCATAACTGCCTCCTTCACTCATTCTGGGGAATCCATACTCGAAACTTCATTCATTGGAGAAAATCAAAGTATCATCTGAAGTTGTGAATACCTGAGACACAATAAAAGCCTTCCTCAGTCACTATCCTTCAGTGCAAGGTTAGCAAATTTTCCCTTAAGGTAGATTGTGATAAGGCCTAGAAGACAGATAACATACTGGACAAAGAGGTTCAGAGTATTCATCAGAAGGCAAACACATTTGAAAACACACATCACAAATTTCTCTACAGTTAACCTTGTTTTATTCTCTTTTTTTTTTAAAGCTTAGGATTAATTTTGACTATATGTCTCTGAAAGGATTACTTGAAATCCAAATCTCTCCTTAAGCTCTGCTCAGGATTTTTTTCTCTTTCTCCAGCTGTCCTTGGCCTCATTTGTGCTTTCACCTTGTTAGGCAATGTGCCTGGGGGAAGCACTGCCCTAGATCCTGCTCCTTTTTCCCTTAGGTCTTACTGTCTAGATTCCCATTCACATCTGCAGACCTGCCCCCTTCTTTCTACTAAAGACATTTATCCAAAATGTCCAAGAACATTTATGGTCTACAAGCTGAGAAAGAATTATTTCTGGTTCGCTCAATAAGACTTAGGTCATGAAACAGTATAACTTTTTTTTTTTTTTTAAGACTTATTTATACAAGAACTAGGGTATGGGCCAGAGGCACCGGAGGGTGAGAGGATTCACCAGAGACAGAGTGGGGAACAGATGGACTGAAAACACTGCTGAGGGAAGCAGCAGGTGAGACAGGAGAGGTCTGTCACACCATGTGGGTATCTCCCTGACTGGCTGGGAATAGAACTGGGCTGCAGAGGCTGTGGACAGCTTCACAGCACTGCACTCAACCTGCTTTGCCACTGGGGAGGCTCATTAGTAGAACATTTTTTAATGAAGTCCATGGAAGGTATTACCTTAATAAGCCATAAACAATGTACCTAGTGCATGTGATGAGTATGGTTGCCTTAAGGAGAAATTAAAGGCCTGACTTATGACTATGATAAAAATGCATTTGAATTAAAGAAAAATGAGATGGATCTAGAAGAACTCTGTAAGCTTTATGCTTCCTTTCAGCAACAAGTTTATTAGGTGGAAAGTGACTTTGACAATAAATTTACATAAGTTTTCTTTTGCCTGAGAATTTAGAAAATTGCAAATCACAGCACATCTGAGCTTTAGGAAACCAGTCTCATTGGCTGCTATTGCCAAGAGCAAGATGGAGTTGGTTTAATAAATTAGATGATCTCGGGGCCTCCCCGGTGGCGCAGCGGTTGAGCGCTGGGTTGCGAAGCTGCCCGCAGCCTCTGCAGCGCCGGTTCAATCCCCGGCTGCTCCCCGGCCACCGGAGGAGGGTCCCACATGGCGCGCAGACCTCTCCTGCTGCCCGCTGCTCCCCTCAGCAGTGTACTTCAGTCCTTCTGCCTGCTCTGCTCCCCGCTCTGGCTCTGGTGAATTCTCTCACCCTCCCACGCTTCTGACTGTACCCAGTGCATGTATAAACAAAACAAACAAACAAATAATAAATAAATAAAACATGCCTCTATAAAAAAAAAATTTAAAAAAAAAAAAAAATTAATAAATTAGATGATCTCTACATCTAGACATATACTTCCCACAATGCTCCAATATAGTTTAAAGGACTCCGAGAGAAATATATAAATTATACCAAGATTAGAAAAGAAAGGTAGGAAATCAATAAACTTTTGTTTAAAAAAAAAGAAAGGTAGGTAAAGAAATCGAGAAAAGGAAAAATAGTTTTGTGATTCTATAGTATGCAAATTAAATTTATCTGCAAGAATGTTCTTTCTTGCAACTTACCGCTTACATAATTTCATTTTTTCTATTATTTATTTGCCTCCATATTTTGCATTTTTGAAATTGAAGCTCCTTTTACAAAAGACACAATCTTTGGGTCTCCCTGGTAGCGCAAGGGATTAAGTCTCAGCACTATGAAGCTACTGGCAGCCACTGCAGCAAGAGTTTGATCCCTGGCCAGGGACATGACCCACATGGTGCAGCAGATCTCTCCCTCTTGCCTCCTGCTCCCCTCAGCAGTGTATTTTAGTAGATCTGCCTAGTCTGTTCTCTACTCTGTCTCTAGTGCATCCTCTCACACACACCCCACCCCCACCCCCACCTCTGGCCTACACCCCAGCTCTTGTATGCATAAACAAATAAATCTTTAAACAAAAGACAGGATCTTAGAAATGAAATGTGCTAATCCAGTGCCCTATAACTAAAGCCACACCTCATTTGTTAATAGTCTGTCTCATGTGTTTCCACTGGCTTCTCATATCCATATTTTATTTTTTTTTTAATTAGAAATATAAATTCCTTGAGACAAGGATAGTCCCTAGCAGTTGCTAGGTACTTTATACACACTCTTTTATTCAGAATTCTTTCAGTAACTGTATGATAGCTTCTTCCCACTCTATAAACAAGGAGTTTAAGACTCCGAAGTTACTGGCCTAAGGTGCTATTGCCAACTTAGCTGTAGAACTGCGTTGATGCTGATCTGGCTGACCCTTCTCTCTTTCAACTGTATCATTCTGCATCTGCTTTCGCACACTGATCAGGCCTTAGTATCAAATTTGGATTCCCCATAAAGCTTCTTAGTATTCTATGAACATAGGAGGTGCTCAATAAATGCTTGTTCATTGAGTGAATGACTAATATTTCATGTCCTTTTTTAAAGCAACTCCACTGACATGGGAACAATTTTGGTTTCTGCTTTTTTCTCACCTTGGTTAAACCTGTTGGGATATCTTGGGTATGTTGTTGCTGTCAGGGACAGAAAAAAAAAAAGGCCTCTTGAAGGACAAATCATGCTGTTCAACTCCCCCACTTTTTGCTGAGAGGGTCTTCTTGCTAAACCCTCAGTTGTAGGAGTAACTCTCTGTGGGGAGGTGAGGGTCTGTGTGGTTTTCATGAGGGTGGGCTAGAATTTACCCTGGAAATCTTGACTAAAATGTTTTTGTGGGTCTAGGGCACAACTGGTTGACACCTAGGAAACTCTCTGAGGGTAAAGCCACAGCTTGGTTAAATCGGGTGACTCACAAGTGTGAAGATTCGTGTTTTAGCACCTGGCAATCAAGAGGCAGAATTAAGCCACTTAAAAAATGAACACTGATGAAAAGCTCAGAACCTTTGCAAAGCTCCAGGCCATGGCATATATTAGAATCTTAATTGTACCACTGAGCTGAATTACCTTCTAGCTTATTTTTGATTCATATTAAAGAAATTCAAAGTGACAATTCTAGGCTGGGGAGCAGGCTTTTGCGTCCTGTCCTGGGGTTATGTTCCCCTGTTTCAACAGATTTGATGTTAGAAGCCTCCTGACAAGCGGGTTCACGTTGGTATTTATTGGATAGTCTTGTAACAGGGCAATTATGAGATCTGAACACTATAATAAAGATTACAAATAATCCAAGTCTCAGCAACTTGCAGATGTAAGGAAAGATGGAAAGACAACCATAGTTATACAAGTATATACCTCTTTACTTTGAAAATTGCTTTTTGATTTCTTCAGGAAAAATTGCAATTGTGTGAGGAGAGGAAGGAGAGAGGAAGGGTAGGGATCTTACTACGCACTGGTGTTGCTCTCTCCACAGCCAAGTCACGGGTAAAGAAAGCGACTGATGCTCATCGTCCACTTCACGGTACTGTTTCTCTGTCTGGGAAGAACCGGCCGATTTCTTAGAAATTTTGTTCAGTGGTGATGGTGCACGGGTGCATTGGGGAAGGAAATTCTAAGGGGACTGCACCTGAGGGGGTCGGGGGAAGCAAATATTGTTTAAAAATGAACAATGATATAAAAAATAAAAATAAAAAATGGAAAAATATAATTATTATGATTATAATAACACATTAAATAAACACAATATTCTACATAAAATAAAAAAATTGCTCAGTTTTTAACATTTCTAGTATTCTGCCTGCTAACAATTTACAAACATGATTTAGTACTGAAAATGAAAGCATTTCATTATTTGCAAGAGAAAGTATTGGAGGCAGATACATATTTGTAGTTAATCTAATCACTCTGCCTTTTTATTTTTTTTTTAAAGATTTATTTATTTATGCATACAAGAACATGGATACAGGCGGTGAGAGGATCTACCAGAGACAGAATGGGGAACAGAACAGGCAGACTGACTGAAATACACTGCTGAGGGGAGCAGCGGTTGAGTCAGGAGAGGTCTCCTGGCCATGTGGGTATCTCCCTGTCCAGGGATCGAACTCCTGCTGCGGTGGCTGAGGTTAGCTTCATAGGTTGTGTCTTAACCTCTTGCACCACCAGGGAGGTTCCGCTCTGCCTTTTTAAACAAGCCCTTTGGCCTTGTCAGTCACCTGGTATCTTACAGATTTTTTTTAATAAGCTATTTAGATTTCTTCACATTTTACATTTTTCAGAATTTTGCTTACCCCCATAGCTTGAGACACTGACTTGTACAGTAATTACTGAAGGTTACACAATAACTGAAAGTATGACACAGTAACACAGATGCCAGGCATTCACTTTATCAAAAGTCTCAGAGGCTCTTATTTAAGGTGGTGGGGAAGCTTGATATCTGGAATCAGAAATAAAAGAAACAAGAATTGGATGCACATGAATCTTAATCATTTAGAACTCTTTTTTTCCCCACTGAAATTTGAGCTCTGTGAGGACAATCATGTCTAGTTTTGTCTACCTACCTTTTTTTCTTGCTGTTGAGTGTCTGAGATACAGCAGGGACTACATAAACATCTTGTTAATAAGTAAATGAATAAGGCAGGGAAAAGTGTGCCTGTATTGTTCTCTTAGTACCACCAACCATAGACTAGAATCTGGTACTAGTAGGTGCTTAACAAACAATCGCATACCCGAGTATCTTCCTGGAGTTTAATAACAAGTTGTTAGACTGTTACACATATGATTACATTGAGTTTTAGATACAAGTTAATAGTTCAGGATTGATGGTTCCCAGATAGTATAAATAAGGGCCATATCTTAACCTAAGAATGGTCTACAAGAAGGCACTACCACTAGAGGTGATGCCATCTTGCCTAGCTTGAAGGGATCAACTACTGACTTGTTTGTTTTGACTCATAACTCTTTATTTAGTATGTTAAAAGAAAATCAAAGTCATCCTTATTCCATTACAGGAAAGGGATGACATGGAGAAGATTTTAGTATGGCATTAACTGTGCTATAGAAATTAGAACATTTGGTAGTGCATAGAATGCACCCCTCTTCCCTCTCCTCCCCGCTCCCCACCCACCCCCACACCCTCCTACCCCCAGCTCCTGTTGATGCAGTGTAAAAGGAGTGATGATTAATGGATTGGAAGTCTGAAGACTCTGGTTTTGGGTCTTGCTTTGCTGAAAATCATAATGAATTGCTTAGCTCTTTTGAGTCTTCTCCTTGTCTGTAACAAGACAACTTTCGAAGCAACACTATCAAGGAATTCATGCCCAGGAGGAAAAATACATGGCTAGAAATTACATGTATCTGATTGAAAACATACAATCACATGATGAGTACCAACTTGCTTTCTCAATGTGCTATCAAAGAAATTCTAATCATCATACCTCAACAGCTTACAGGAAACCACCATCTTGATGTTAGAAAACAAACAGGAAACACTGCTTATCTCTGGGCAGTCAAGATTTCTAAAGCAATTATCTACTCTTGCTGGATTCATATTTTGACAACAAAGCTGTCAAATCATATCTGGTATTTTCCAGGACTTAACCTAGTTCTTCACAATACATCCAGTTTAGAAGGAATTTGCCAAAGAAAATGGAAGATTTCATAGGCCAGGGGGAAAAAAAAAGTTAGATATTAAAACAATTCAATATCAAATAATAATTTGGTATTGTTTTCAAATATAGCTTAATATGAAGAGAAGGATCTCAAACTGTGTATGCAGTAGGATCTCACATAAACATGCACACACACACACACAGTGGGAAAGAAGATGGACAGAAGAACACCAATATGATAATCATTATGCTCTTGGGGGACAGGGAGGGGGGTCGTATGCGCAGGTCATAGTTTCAACTGCTTCTTTCTGCATATCAGTGTTATCCAAATTAAAGCCAATAAATACACATTGCTTTTATAGTAAGAAAGGTTAAAAAATATTATTGAAAACTGTGTTAAATGCAACCCTAATCCTCTGCAGACATTTCATATTGGAAATTGTAGAATTTAGGATGTAGGGGACTCCAAAAGCCATGTAGTCTCAACACCATAATTTAGCAGAGGCAGAAACCAAGTTTCAGAGAAATAAAGTGACTCACTCATGTATGGGAGTGGAAGTAGGCAGGGAGGTGGGGGAAGCCTGAATGTAGAAGTGGGCAGGGAGGTGGGGAAGTCTGACTTAGAACCTAAGGTCAGAGCCCTCTCTATTGCACAATTCTAACATCTATGTGACATGGGGAAGTTTGATAAAATCTACTCTTCACGCATGGTGAAGTGTGAAGTTGTACTCACACACACATATTTGTAAATTAATGGCAAATCAATACAATTTTGAAAGACAATTAATTGTAAATAATACCCCAACACCCCCCCCCCGCCCGGCAATAAAACCCAAAACCACTACCCAGAAGTACATTGGCAGGGAAATACAGTTTTTAAAATGCATGATCAAATGCCCAATACCATGTGACTTGAATAAATATGCCCAATTTTAAGAAATACTCTTTCTCATCCCTGGCCACAAATAAGAGCAATCACATCGCCTGAGCGGGCTGCTCTACAAGGCAGATAGAGGCTCAGCCTCTGCCCTCTCTACTGACAACCTGTAACATGCACCATCTACTAAGAAATGCATAAGCCCATCAACAGAAGAGAGAAGGGAGAGGAGTAGATCTGACTCATATAAAGGAAAACAGAATACCAGATTTCAGTGGTATAAATGGGAACCCAAAAATCAAATATGGTAACCTTGGGAGAAAGATTTGCTTTGTAATTCCACTTAATGGATGAGTAAACTGATGTTGAAATTCTAAAATACCTGTCTAAGATCATAGCTAGTAAGTACTATAGGCAAAATCTGAACCCAGGTTAATTACCACCCTGACTAGAGAGCTTTCTCATCATTCTTCAGCCACAAACCCCTAGTTACTGGGAAAGAGGGCAACATTGCATAAAACAGACATAAAATTGGAAATTTTGATCAAGTGCAAGGATACAAGGTTACCAAGAATACAGTAGACAATCAGATGGAACTCAAAGTCATCACTAACCTGCTAGAGGTCAGCTTTGGGTGCTGTTGGGGCTCCACTGTGGTCTCTTTCCTAGGTTGGTGTATCTTTCCCAGTAATGGCTCGCCACTGCCTCCTTCCCTGGAGAATTGCCCTCAACAGAACTACCAATGGAATCCACATCCCCTGAGAAGCAACCTACAGCCCATGATGGACTGACTCAGAGGTACGGGAAGCAGCCTGCACAGTAGGACCCACTGGTGGTAAAATTGACATTTTGCTTCCCTCACTCCCTTTCTCCTGAAAGCACTCCTTCAACAAATCACTTGAACAAAAGAGGGTCGCCAGAGTTAAGATAAACAAGTAAACACAAGCAAACTCATGTAGACAAGATAGAGGGGCTTAGGGAGGACCACTCGGGTGCTTCACAACTATCAAGGCAACTGGGGGCACAGAGGAGCAATTTACCAGAGTTCTAAAACAGCCTGGGGTAGCAGGATTGTGAAAACTACTACACCCCCCTTTGTTGTCAAGGAATCAGATGTGGAATTCATGGGAGGAATGTGGACCTTTTAAAAGGGATCATGCTCTAGAGGGGAACCTGAGAGGTTTTGGGAGCAGGCAGCCAAAGGAAAAACACAACTTGGGTCAGAGGTTGGAAATCTTTCCTATAAAGGGTCAGATAGCAAATATTTAATCTTCAGGGGCCATATAATCTGTGTTGCAATTACTCAACCCTGCTGTTAATACACAGAAATAGTAATATGTAGTGGATGGGGATGGCTGCGTTCCAATAAAACTTTATATACAAAAGTAGGCACTGGGCAGGATTTGGCCCACCTGCTACGGTTTGCCAATCCTTCGTTTAGGACAAAGTAAAGGCAGTCAGAGATGAGTTGTCAGGAAGTCTACAAAGAACTGATGAACTTGTCCACAAAGAGCTCACTTTAAACGTCTATTCATCTTATGTCCATTCCCCTCTAGTAAAATCATCTCTGCTCTCCTTTTATTCCCAAGCTGCACCTGTGGAAAGGTTAGAAATTGAAATGAGTAAACTGAAAAAGAGTGGGAAAAGAAAAGGCTTCACGTCAAATCAAATGAGCCGTTTGAATAAAGGGACCAGACATTTTTAATTATTGAATTGAGACTGTGATGTAAAGAGACTGTGGAATTTTCTATTAACTTCAAGTGACCAGAAAAGGCACAGATACTTGGTTTATTTTTCATTCAGTGGCAGAGAAAAAAATGTTCTCCCTTGAATAAATTTTAAAGAGAAATGAGAGACATGAATAAAGTCGCTTTCTTATTACTTTATACATGTCCTACTTGTTCGAGGTACCTCTTACATTTGTCTCTGTGGGTTCTCATCTGGGGTATAATATGAAAATTCTTCCAATATTGGAGAATCTCCAGAGAAGCCAAGAAAAGGCTCTCTTGAAGGGACACCGGTGTGAGCTGGAGATGACAAAGATGTGACCACGAACCTGGGACAACTAACACCATCCCTGTCCCCTTCACCCTCCACCTACCTCTCTATTTAATCCAAAAACTGGGAGAGGGGAAGACACAG